TTAGTTTCCACCCATTGCTTCTTGTTCTACCCTCAGGTGCCTTGGAGAATAGTTTGACTCCCTCTTCTTTGTGGCAACCCCTGAGATATTGGTACCCACTTTCTAAATTAGGTAACGCTATTTGAAAGAACAGCCAAATCAAATGGTTAACAGCAACATCAGCCTGGGGAATTTCTATTTGGAATAGAATTGTATACACATACCAACAGATACTTCAAAGCTTATTGGTTTATCTCCAACCTTCCGATCAATCATTGTTGCTTCAAAAAATGCCCCAAAAAGAAGGAACTCCTCAAGTTGTTCCTCATGGATCTGATGAAGACATAACAAAGGAAATCTATTTTAAAATGAATTTGTAATAGCTTACACATGAACAGACACTAAGATATGCACAGAAAAATTTGGCACACTGCTGGTTTTATATTTGCTATGGGAAATATATGCTATGAAACTGAGCAAAACATAGATGAAAGTCATTTCTTGCACTGTTTATTTTACTTTTTAGATTCCTTTAAATGAAACAAAAATGAATAGGAAACTAGTAAGTTTGCAAAAAAAAAATTACTGGCTTCAAGCATAACCTGTATTTTAGCAATGCCTCTGGCCATTGCTAACCCTTAGAAGCAGTGATGGGATTCAGCCGGTTCGCACCACTTCGGGGAGAACCAGTTGTTAACTTTCTGAGCAGTTTGGCGAAGTGGCTCTTGGAAGAAATCATTAGGGCAGAGAACCGGTTGTTAAATTATTTGAATCCCACCACTGCAAGTTAGAAGCCTCTTTAGAAATTAAAATAATTGATGGCCACAGCCCTGGGCAAATCAAGATGTTTTGTTACTTGCCAAATCTGCTTGTAACAGGTTTTCAAAATTTCCACCAACTTGAAAAGCTTGCTGTATTGGATCACCTGATCAACCTTTTATTACAGTCAATGACCAGATATCTATTGGATGGCCTTAAGTTCTAAGAGAATCATGTTGTACAATTTTGCATATCATTACTTAGACCTTACCTCCATGGAAATTGATGAGATTTGATAGAGGTGAAGCCTCAATTACATCAATGCTTAGATAATTCAGTTGTAATCCATCTTCACATAAGTCATTGTCAATGATTCAGGCAGAATTTACAAATGCATTTCATTTGAATATGACCGCCGGCATCAGATGGTAAAAGTACTTATGTCATTTTATAGCAAAACAAATCCTCATCAAGTACCAATCTGTGCCCTGATTATTATGCACTGAGCATTTTTTTTCTTACAGGCAATTCCATAAGATAAAAGATAGCTTTACGGGAGATATATATAAAATGCTGCAACAAGGTTGATTACCAACATAAATTACTGACTTCTTTATTCATGCCTAAGCACATATGGCATGAAATCAATGTTAAATAATGTGTGCGTTTAGGATAAAATGTCACCTGTTTAATTATACTGTTCAGCTCTAAACAATAAGCCCCTGGACAAGTTAACAAATTACTTACATCAATAGAACTGGGAGAAGTAATTTCTCTGTCCCTGCAGCCCTACTCCCTTCCCATCTTCACAACCTGCTCTAAAAAGCCGAGGATCCTTAAAAACAAATCTGCAAGGCCCAAGGACAGAAAACCCCCTCATGTGGATGAAATATGTTGCATTTTACATAGTGCTATCAAGCACAAGTCAATACAATACAATACAATAGCAGAGTTGGAAGGGACCTTGGAGGTCTTCTAGTCCAACCCCCTGCCTAGGCAGGAAACCCTACACCGTTTCAGTCAAATGGCTATCCAACATCTTCTTAAAGACTTCCAGTGTTGGGGCATTCACAACTTCTGGAGACAAGCTGTTCCACTGATTAATTGTTCTCACTGGTCAGGAAATTCCTCCTCGGTTCTAAGTTGCTTCTCTCCTTGATTAGTTTCCACCCATTGCTTCTTGTTCTA